GAGAGGTGTTGAATATAACCTAATCCTTGATGACCAAAGTCCTTGTGGAACCATCTGTTGGGTATTTATGAATCAAAATCACCGTGGACATAGCATACATGTCGTCCCTTACAAGTACAATGGTTTGATAAATGAGAAATTAATAATATACCTTAGTCATTCCTAAACATATTTAGACGTTTTCTGATAACGGCATAACAGAGAAAACGTTAATATATAAGGGATAACTATTTCAATACTCTTCATTGTCAATATTCTCGTTGGTTATTTTGTTTGTTGGTTGGTTCGCAGGATAAGTAAAAAGAAAAAACTATGAACAGAGTTTATTTTTTTATTTTTTGTTTTACTTTTTATTTTTATATTATTATCATTATATTATTTTTTTATTATATTATTATTTTTTTTTTTTACCAGAGCCAAACTTAGATGCCAATGGTGATCAGGTTCATGATCAGGATCCAGGAATTCTTCAATGATTGCAACAGTTACTCCAATAGGGATAACTGTTGTCAGTAGTAGTATTTTTGGCGCTTGAATTATTATTATTATCCTAATGTCTTTAATGTTTCTAGTTTCCACTATTATCACTGTTCTTTCCATCTATTCAAGTCACAATGTGAATTATTTATCATTGTTACTATCTCTACCCATTGCCTTTTTTTATCATTTCTGTATTTATCATTGATGCTTCCATTACTGTTACTATTCTTTTAATTTCTTTCATAATTACTATTGTTGCCATTGTAACCACTGTTGTTATTGTTATTAATGTTTGATTATTTTCTCTTTCATTATTATTTTGATTCATGTTATTTTATGAATGATGTTTATCATTTTAAGCAAATTCATTTATAATAATGATAATAATGTGATTATAATATTAACAACAAGAAGAAAAGTAAAAGTAATAATAATAATAATGATAACGATAATGATCATAATAATAATGATAAAAATGATAGAAAATGATGACAACGATGATAAAGATAATATAAAAATTGTAATGATGATAGTAAAGTGATAATAGTAATGACAAAAATAATAGTTATAGTAATGATGATAATGATAATAGTGATGATGATAATGATGAAATAATGATAATGATAAATGATTATTATATTTATTATTATGATTATAATGATGGTGACAGTAGTAATAGTAGTAGTAATAATAATTATAATAATGATAATGATACTAATAATGATAACAATAACAATAATAATAATAATAATGATAATGATAAGGAAATAATAATAATGATAACAATAACAACAACAACAACAATAATAACAAGAAAGTCATAATGATAATGATAATGATAATAAAAAAGATAACAAGTTTCAATAGTTTTAAGCAGAATTATATATTCAGCGTGATGCAAAGAACAATTGTGTTCTATTTTATTTTCATCTTTCACGCACGAAATAATGGCTTCTTTTTCTTTCTCTCTTTTTTTTTTATTTTTGCTTTGGGTGGAGTCGAATTCCTTTACCTTCCCGTGGAGACAATTTAATTTATGAATTTTCTTTGCGCAATGTTGGAAGAGTTCCAACGTATCATAGAAAACGGATCTTCTTTGATGGGTAACTTTAGTATTTGGGGATCTCAATGGCATTTTTAAGGCCGATGATATACAAAAATGATGAATTTATTTGTTGATAAATGGCAACTAATATCACATAAATACTAGCTGAAACTAGAAAGAAAACTGAAAATATATCTATGGTCATACGTGTCTTTGTTTGTGATTAATCTTTCTCTCTCTCTCTCTCTCCTCTCTTTCTGTCTCCATATGTATGTGTGTGCATGTGTATATGTGTGTGATATATGTGTGTGTGTGTGTGTGTGTGTGTGTATATATGTGTGTGTGTGATATATGTGTGTGTGTATATATGTGTGTGTGTATATGTGTGTGTGTGTATATGTGTGTGTGGTGTGTAATGTGTGTGTGTGTGGTGTGTGTGTGTGTGTGTGTATGTGTGTGTGTTGTGTGTGTGTGTGGTGTGTGTGTGTGTGTGTGTGTCTGTGTGTGTGTGTGTGGTGTGTGTGTGTGTGTCTATGTGTGTACTGATGTGTGTGTGTAGTGTGGTGTGTGTAGTGAGTGTGTAAGATAATGTGTGTCTGTCTGTGTGTGTGTGGTGTGTGCGTGTTGTGTGCATTTCCTTGGAGATTCTGCTCATAACGTCGTATGATTATATGTGACTTTTGCACATAAAGATAATTGTGTTCTCTCGCCATTCTGAAATCGTGAGTTTTTGTGTGTGTGCGTGCGTGTGTGTTTGTGTGTGTTTTTCCTGTTTGTTTATTAATACTCGTACGTATGAAAATGCTTATGCATGAACATAAACGCCTCTCTATCAGTTTATCTATCTATCCGTTCATCTATCTGTCTAGCTGCATACCTATACATATATTCACGAGTATCCATTTCTTATTATTTCGCAAGCCAGTTTGAGTTGATGACGTCACACTCAAGCTGATGAAAAACAACACAAAACGCCTTTTTTTGTAGTCACCATAATTCAAATTTCTATAACTCTTCCATTCAAATATAACATAAAATAATTAATAAAAGCCACACAAACACATCCAACAAGAAATGAATAAAGAAATGAACGAACAGAAAAAGAAAAATAACAAACAACAAAAAAACAACAGCGAATCGTCTTCCGTGGCGAAAGCTTATGACGTCACGATCGTAAACAGGATTTGAAACCAAAAGTACCGCGAAAATGCACGTGGCGTCAATATGGCTGGCTTCACTTCATCGCTATCCTCATTACCATCATTATTGTCATTTGTTGTGATGTTATTATCATTAGTATCATTATTATTGTTACAACAACTATTATCATTCGTTGTTGTATTTACGGTTGTTGCAGCTGTCGTTGTTATGCAGAGAATTCCCTTGCTCAAAAAAAAAGAAAGAAAGAAAGAAAAAGATCAAGGCCATATGGAAATTATAATAAATAAGAACATGGAAACAGGATGGAAACCGGTACGGAGGGAGAAAAGGGGAAAAAATAAGGTAAATACTTTCAGTAAAATTTCCAGCCATGTAAAAAAAGAAATGAAATAAAACAAAAAGAAGAAATAAATAAAAGAAAAAGAAACATAATTTCCGCAACAATACCAAGGGGAGAAATATCTTTTCGAAAATCTGATTCAATAAGATATTATGTGTGTAGACATGTGTGTAGATATAAAACTATACGACAAATCTATCTATCTGTCTATCTATCTAATCATCTACTTACCTATCTATCTGTATATCTATCTGCCTATTTAGCTATCTATATTACTATCTATCTGTCTACCTATGTATCTATCTACCCATTCTACCTTTCTACCTACCTACTTACCTGTTTACCTACCTACCTATCACTCTATAGGCTACATACATATACATATATGTCGTATTACAAATGCTTATGGAAGTCTCTCAGGAACTGTCCAATAATAATAATGAGGATGAGGATGATAACTATAATAATGATTAATAATGATGATGATTATTATTACTAGCCCCTGGAACCACCTCTAATCTTCTCATCTTAGGCGACAATATTTTTATTCCTTGGTTTACGAATCCGCCACACTTGTTTTTCCCGATTTTCGAAAATAAAAATAATTGAGAAAGTGACCCATATGTATATATATACACATACACACACACACACACGCACGCACACACACACACACACACACACACACACACACACACACACACACACACACACACACACACACACACACACACACACACACACACACACACACACACACACACACACACACACATTATATATATATATATATAATATATAATATATATATATATATATATATATATATATATGCGTTCATAACAATACATATAATCACACCTAATTTTGGTTTTGATGGTAACCTGCTATAATAATTTGACCGTACTTTTGCTTGTATTGCTCTATTTTTCTCCTACAGGTGCGAATCATGTTCAATCATGAATCATGTTTTTTGGTTCTTATTACAACATTACATATGTATGGTTTTTGAATGTTACTTTTGAATTAATCGAAAACCTTATCTAACAGTGTATCAAATTCTCTCATGATCTCTGAAGCTTAATATTAAATCCTCAGATGACATCGTTTTATATGTACAACAATGAATCCTTATGTGGTTTTGGTTTTTGATTAATCATGTATATTTTGTAGCAGGTTGGATTATTTTTTTTATTTTATTTCGGTTGTATTCATGACATTATGATTTGATCGTTCCAGTTATTCATCTGCTCTCCTTTCTGTGTTTCCTTATTTAATTATATTTTTTTTGTTGTTTTCAGTTTATTTATTCATTATAGATATATAGAATATATATATATGTATGTATATATATTTTTCAACTATATATATTGTTGTGTCATAAAATCTTTGTCCCTGTGTCAAATGGTTTGTTGTGTCTTCTTGTTTGTTTACATTAACATCTATCTACAAGTATTACTGTAAACTCAAAAAAACAAGTAAATTTCGCTTAGGTTACCGTCTGTGCACCGCCAATCGTAAGGCCCAATTCACTTCATATTCTCTAGGTTAAGGGATAGATTTTCACACTCAATGCTGACATTTTGATGCATTTTATTCATTTCTGAAGCTGAGGAAAGCCGTTCGCCAGGGTCGCTGTCGTCGCGCGCCTGCGGAGGAAGCCGTGCCGTGGCGGACGCGCGCCGACGTCGACGTCGTCGCCGAAGCCATCGTCGTCGTGGTCGAAGCCGCCCACGTAAGCCACGCCCACGGGTCGAGCCACAGGCGCTGCTACGACGCCCACGGCATGCACAGTCGGGACCACGCCCACAGAGTGCACCACGGGCGCCTTCCAGGGGCCGGGCGCCGCGAGGCAGAGGCTGAGCTGCAGCGCCCCCAGCACCGCCGCCGCCAGAGCGAGTTTGCCGTTGACCTTGCGGGGGAGGGCGGTCAGCCTGCGCTTTTCTCGGACAAGAAGGCTTTTCGAAGGACAATCGACAGCTGGCTAATATTCCATTATTAAAAAATGGAATCAAAAGTTATCAAAATATTTTATCTAATATCAACAAAGTAAAGGTATATCATGTTGATTATAAGCTTGCCTGCAATATTCATGGCCAACCTGAAAAAAATATTCTAATGAATATGACATTTTATTTAATAAAAAGAAAGTATCTTCTTATATACAGATTCTTGAAGCGAAGACCCGATTCCAGACTGACATCCATTACAAATCACTATCTTAGACTGAAAGAATACAAGAAAACAGTCAAGAAAATCGATCAGATGAACCGTACTCGACAGCTCATCTTGGGGCCTTACCATTTTCGCTTCTTGAGTTGTCCGAATGACCGAGAGAACTTGACTTCGGAAGCTGATGTGAAGAACATTCGATCTTCTGGGCTTTTATATGCACGTCTCGGCCTCTGCCCCTCCCACCTCCTCTCGGTTGCCGTCTCCTTATCCTTCTCTTTATTCTCTCTTGTCATTTCTCCTCTTTCACGGTTGCCATTTCCTTGTCCTTCTCTTTATTCTCTCTTGTCATTTCTCCTCCTCTTTCTCGGTTGATGTCTTATCCTCCCCCTGCCACCTATTTTCCTTCATCTCCTTTTCTTTTGTAATCTATTCTCTCCTCTGCCTCCTATCCCTTCTCTTCTGCATTCTTATTTCCTTCTCCACCCTCACCTATGCCCTCTGTCCCGTCCTCCTATTCACTGATGTTTTTTTTTTCCTCCTCCTACTTTTCCTTTGCTATCTTCTCTCTTCCTTTTTCCTTTGTCTTCTCTACTTCTCCCCCTCTTCCACTTCCATCGCTTTGCCCTTTTTTCACGTCTCCTACAATTCCTCTTTCGATTTTTGTCTTCTCTTCGTATCCTTCTCTACCCTATCCCCGTCTTTCGCTTTATCATCTTCTTCCTTCTTCCCTTACTCCTCTCCTCTTTCTCCTTTCCCTCCCCCTCCCACCCTTTTTTTCTTCTCATTCATTTCATCCTCTCCAGCTCCTATGCCTCCTCTCCTCTTCTTCCTCCTTCTCCCCATCCCACTTTTTCGCCTTCTTACCTCCTCTTCCCCTCCCATCCAATCTCTCCCACTCCTTTACCTCCTCCCTTCTTCGTCTCTCCTCTATCCTTCCATTTTTTTCTGTTCTTTCCTTTTCTCATTCCTACGTTCAGGATACAGGATACACTCATCCTTCGTGTGAGGGTGGAGAGGGGGGGAGGGATTTTCTTGCACGCTTAAACGAAAGCAGTTTTGCATATCATTGCATTTGCAGATCACGGGAAGCCCGCTGCACCCTCGTCCAATTTTAGAAAATAAAAACAAAAACTGGCAACTCATTACAATTCTGGGGAAATCTGATCTTACGTCTCCATTGCAGAAAGAATAGAATAAAAAAATATTTTAAAGCATTAAATGAAAGAAAGAAAAAAGGTAAATATATATGTATACGTTATACAAATACAAGATATATGTAAGAACTGGTATCATCTATTTTTTTTTCCACGAAACTTGATGAATCGATGTATTCCAGAATTTAGAGTTAGTTGCCAATTTGTCCTTTCTTGAGATTAGTCGAATTACAGTTGCCAATCGGTAATAAAACGGACGATGGTATTTAAATTTATTTATTTATTTATCATTATTAATATTTATTTTTTTATTTATCTATTCATTTCTAAAATATCTGATTTATCGTCGATGGTTGTGGAAGCAATAAAATCATGATGATAATGATAATGACGGTTGGTATCGATGATAGTAGTTGTATTGCTAATAATATTGATGATTAGGTAAACTAAACAAAAATAAACATTCATAGTAAAATGATCATCTATAGTAATACTGATTATAACAATATTAGTATTTTTGCTTTTGGTGTCACTTTACGACAACGTGGTCGTAGCAATGATTATTATAATAATAATAAGAGCTCTATCAATTATTTTGATACTAATAAAAACACGACTAATAGTAATAATAATGATAACGAAAATAATGATAAACGATAATTATAATGAAATATAGCTGTGTATACGACTAACTCTACCAAGTTCATTGTAATGATTAAATAAAACTAAAGATGTTCACGAATATGAACCAATCATGACAAATCATAACGAGCTCTTGACCAATCACAGTCCTTGTTTATGCGACATGTCCGATATGCTGGCTTTCATTATTTCTATGCAATTACCATCAAATTAGATAATGTAGTGAGTTAAACGTCATAAACTGAAGGCATGAAATTATTATCAATGTGCTTTTCTGTAATCCCTAACGAATTATTATCATTATCATTATTTCTTAAATGTGTGTATCATTGCGAAACTCGGTATAGCTTGATGTTTCGAACACGTTAGAACGACAGTGACCATGGAAGCTTCTACAAGTTCAGAAGGTAGACTGATATCTTCCTGATGTCAATACCCATGGGTTTTTCTTTCTATAACCTTTGCTAAATTAGGATTAATTTGTTGTTTATATACATATATACATACATGCATATATATATATATATATATATATATATATATATATATATATATATATATATATATATAATATATATATATATATATATATATATATATATATATATATATATATATATATATATTATCATTATCATTATCACAACACCTGTGTTTTGATTTAAACAAAAACTAAATATAACCTATGTTCCTGCTGTAAAATGATTTGTTTTGTGTTTGCTTCAGTGATTTATGAAGTGTTTCATCCTTGCTTCTTACTGTTATATTTATATTTATCCACCTGTAAGCATATGCTGAATAATTACACAAATAGATTTTTCTTAAGTTACGGTCTGTGCACCGCCTGTCAGAAGGAAATCTTTAGTCTCCGTTTACTTCAATTCTTTTAGGTTAATGGTTTTCACACAGTGTTGACATTTTGATGCATTTTATTCATTTCTGAAGCTGAGAGGAAAGCCGTTCGCCAGGGTCGCTGTCGTCGCCGCGGAGGGAAGCCTGCCGGCGCGTCCGCCGTCGTCCCCCCTTTGCTTGTGGGCGGAGATGACGACGCGACGTCGTCGTCGTCGTCGCCGAAGCCATCGTCGTCGTGGTCGAAGCCCCCCACGTAAGCCACGCCCACGGGTCGAGCCACAGGGGCTGCTACGACGCCCACGGCATGCACAGTCGGGACCACGCCCACAGAGTGCACCACGGGCGCCTTCCAGGGGCCGGGCGCCGCGAGGCAGAGGCTGAGCTGCAGCGCCCCCAGCACCGCCGCCGCCAGAGCGAGTTTGCCGTTGACCTTGCGGGAGGGAAGGGCGGTCAGCCTGCGCTTTCTCGGACAACAAGGCTTTTCGAAGGACAATCGACAGCTGGCTAATATTCGCTAATTTAAAATGGATTCGAAAATAATAGAAGAAATGATTTTAATGACAAAGTAAATATGATGCTGCATTTACAATGACTCGCCTTTTAAACATCTATTGCAGACAATATTTATGGATATTCTAAAAAAAACAAAAAACATACTAGTGAATTTATCTGTAATTCTATGCCATACAAAGGGAGTCTTACTTCTAATATACAAAATGTTGAAGAATATCAGTAGAAAATAATTAGGCAGATAATTATGAATTATGTATATCGACCTAAGTTCATCCAATAACATCTAAAAATAAACGTATTTTACAATGGGTTTCGGAGCCTTACCATTTTCGCTTCTTGAGTTGTCCGAATCACCGAGAGAACTTGACTTCGGAAGCTGATGTGAAGAACATTCGATCTTCTGGGCTTTTATACGCGCGTCTCGGCCTCTGCCCCTCCCACCTCCTCTCGGTTGCCGTCTTCTTATCCTTCTCTTTATTCTCTCTTGTCGTTTCTCCTCCTCTATCTCGGTTGCCATCTCCTTCTCCTTCTCTTTATTCTCTCTTGTCATTTCTCCTCCTCTTTCTCGGTTGCCATCTCCTTATCCTTTTCCTCTTTATTCTCTCTTGTCATTTCTCCTCCTTTTTTCTCAATTGCCATCTACTTATCCTTTTCCTCTTTATTCTCTCTTGTCATTTCTCCTCCTCTATCTCGGTTGCCATCTTATCCTTCTCTTCCACTTTCTTGTCATTCTCTTCTCTTTCTCGGTTGCCATCTCTTTATCCTTCTCCTTCCTTTATTCTATCTTGTCATTTCTCTCTTTTTTTCTCAGTTGCCTTCTTATCCTTCTCCACTTTATTCTCTCTTGTAATATCTCTTCCTCTTTCTCAGTTGCCATCTCCTCCTCTTACTCTATTTTCTTCTCTCTGCTCTTCGTTTTCCTCTCCACCTCATCTTCCTTCTCTTGTGTCACCTCTATATTCCTATTTATTTTCTCTTATCATTTCTCTCCTGTTTCTCCATCTCCTTCCTTCTGGTGCTATCTATTTCTTCTTCGTCTCCTGTCTCTCCTCCTTTTGCATTGATCTCTCCTTTTCTTCACCTCTTTCTCTTTGCGTTCTCTTTTCCTTCTCCTCCTCCTCCACACATCTCCCCTCTGCTTCTATTCCTCTCCTCCTCTCCTTTGAAGCCTTTTCTTCCTATTCTTCTCTCTTTTTCTTCCTTCCTCCATTTCCCTTTGTTCTTTCCCTTCTCAATCCTCCCCTTTCATTGTTGTATTCTTTCTTCTCCTCTCTCTTCTCCTTTGTTTCTCTCTTCTGTCCCTTCTCTCTTCTTCTTTGTCTTTTGTCTCTCTCTTCTTCTCTCTTGTCTTTGTCTTCTTCTTCTCTTTTGTCTTCTCTCTTCTTCCTTGTCTTCCTCTCTTCTTCCTTTGTCTTTCTCTTTCTTCTTTTGTCTTCTCTCTTCTTCCTTGTTTTCTCTCTTCTTCTCTTTCTCCTTTCTCTCTTCTTCCTGTCTCTCTTTTTGTCTTCTCTCTTCTTCTCTTTGTCTTCTCCTCTTCTCCTTTGTCTCTCTCTCTTCCAACAACACTCTGGTCCAACCGTAGGTACAAACTGTATAAACAAGACAGGTCTATGTAAAAGATAATTATATACATAGGGGTACGACAGATACTAACACGTGGACCCGTGATCTGGACCCAACTACCTCATAACATCAGAAACATTCAGAAAACTCGAATAATAAATAAATATAAAAATAGTGAAACATCTTTAAAATCATCAATGACATCGGGGTTCAAAATATAAGTGGAAAAAAGTCTACTACCTTTAATGTTATGTGTATTTTATATTCATTTGTACTGCAAAATATATATTTTTTTTTATGTAATAAGAATTCTAACCATTCTAACAAATAGAGTATTCTGAATTTGAAATTGAATTAAATCATCCTTTGTTGTCTTCTCTTGTCCTCCTCTTTCTTTGTTGACTTCTTCCTTCATCCTCATCATATTCTCTTTTATTCTCTTCCTCTCCTTTGTCCTTATTATCTTCTCCCTTCTTCTCTGTCTCCTTTTTCCTCTCTCATCCAACCTATTTTCCCCCTTGAACTCTTATGCCTTCTCCTCCTCCTTCCTACTCCACTCTTTCGCCTTCTCTCCTGCTCCTCTCTCTTTCATCTTCTCTCCTCTTCTCTCTCTCCCCTCCCTTCTCTTCTCTCGCGGTTACGTTCAGGATGCAGGATACACTCATCCTTCGTGTGGGGGTGGAGACAGAGAGAGAGAGAGGGGGGGGGGGGGGAGATTTTCTTGCACAGTTAAACGAAATACTCTCTTGCATATCATTGTATTTACAAATCATGGGCAGTCAGCTGTATCCTTCGTCCAATTTAGAAAACAAAAACAAAAACTGGCAACTCACTACAGTTTTTCAAGACAAATCTGATTCGCTGTCTTTATTTAAACTAATAGATTAATTAATAAAATAAATCGGTACTGATTGCACCATAAGATAAAAATATTTGTACAAATTTACAAATACAAAACATGTGTACAGACTGCATTATAGATATATATTTTTTTTCTTTTCCACAACAAATCGAGTCCAAAATGAGTTGCCAGTTTATTCCTTTCTTGCAATTAGTTGCATTAGAGCTGTGTATTGGTAATGAAACGGACGATGGTATTAAACTGCTCGTCGATGGCTGTGGTGACAATAAAATAATATTGATACTGACAATGCTGGTTGATAATGAGAGTAACTGTATTTGTAACTAGAAGCACTTAATAAAAATCGTCCTCTATAGTAATACAAAAATATTTACACCTTGAGGAAAATCCTGGATCTGCATTACCACCAAAATTGAATGACATCTAAGTTGAGCTCACACACGCGATAGATAATAATAATAAATAATAATAATAAATATAATAATAATAATATGATATAATAATAATATAAATAAATAAAATAAAAATAATGAAATTTTGTTCATAACTTTTTAGTTATCCTGCTAACCGACTAACCAATGAACAAACAAATATACTAACCAACGCTACCAAAAGAGATCGATCGAATGTTGCAGATTTTCGAGTTTTAGTTTCAAGATACGGTAATCGCATTAAAAAAAAAAAAAAAAAAAAAAAAAAAATCTGGTATGAATGCTTAAGAGAGTTCTCAGATATTGGAACAGGCCTCAAATGTTTTTAGACCATTTGAAAGACTAACGGGATAAAAGGTTATTTTTGTTTGCAAATGTCCGGTCAGAAAAAAAACATTGCAACAATGTTATTGCACTATGTTAAAAAGATTGCAGGTCTATATCGAACACATTCGCTGCGTTCGCCAGTATGAGGGAGATGCACACATCGAAATTAAACCAAAATTAAACAATCTGTATGTGCCATCACAATTTATTTCATGTTCTAAATTGGCAAGATTTTTTTTTTTTTTTTTTTTTTTTTTTTTTTGCACACGTCACAGACTACTGATTTCACTGACTTTCAGAAATTGTCAAAAGATCTGTGAATCCTCTCCGCTGAAGGAATGGCCATAGAAGGTCACTGGACTAGAAGAAGATGGCAACAGTAATTATGAAATAAAAGAATCTTTAAGACCGGCTGTTTGTAAGAAGAATATGCGTCTTTTACTCTGAAACAGCGCCTTCCGCTAAGTATTGTTGAGGAGCCTTCAAAGTGTACTTATAATCTCCAAAGGTTATTAAAAAGAAATGCGATTGTTATTGTAAACAAGTACTTTCCCTGTGGTTAGGGTGTCTGAATATGTGATTTAAAAAATACCTTTACCATACTAAGGCTTGAGATAGTAGCATATAAAAAGTTTTCATAGTGTTTCCTTCCATTTCGAAGCACAATGTTTTCTTTAACTATTATGTGTAATACGAAGAGGCTGTGGACCTGCATTTTCTTTAACGACTTGCATGTAGTTTAAAGTATAATATGTTTGTTTTTTTTTTTTTTCTTTATATCCTTTTTATAACATGAATTTTCCATTTTGTGATTCCCCTGTGGTAAGGGTATCTGATTCTACATATTTTCTAAGGATATTCTTTTTTACAGATTAGACATTCTTCACTGAAGTTCCTTAATGAATCATATAAGACCCAAGCCACAGCAATGAACGAAAATATCCCGGTACATATCATTTTGAATGCATAAAGAAACGAATAAAACATAGATGGCGAAAGCTCTCGTTTCAATGAAGAAAATTAGATTGATCGAACAATAACAACATTTGTCATTACCTTTCAAGTGGTTCAATATATCCTTAAGAATGGTACAACTGGTACAACACGAGTATTGAAAGATTTATTAAAGCCATGACTTCGAAGCGTATAACATGCAGTACCGATTCTAAAGGATATTTGAGTAAAAGACGAACAGGCGTATATATGGCTTAACGACCACTTGGGTGAACCTTGCAGTTACAAGACAAACAGGCCTGTCTACATCAACCCTATTAAACACCTGGATCGTTGATTAAATTAAATCTGTTATTAAGCATGGAAAGGTTCAATGAATACCCTATTTGTTGGTGTTAACGACATCTAAATACATTTGAAAGTGATGCAGTAATGAATGATGAAAGCATTTTAGAAAAGACTTTACATCGCTCTTCCGAAAATTCGAAAGAAATGCTCTTTTAATATATATATATAATATATATAATATATATATATATATATATATATATATATGTATGTTGTATGTGTGTGTGTGTGTGTGTGTGTGTTGTGTGTGTGTGTGTGTGTGTGTGTGTGTGTGTGTGTGTGTTGTGTTGTGTGTGTGGACACACACACACATACACGCTCCCGACCCTCGGCCTCGCTTGGTCATACACTGCATGACCTTCCTTCTCATGATAAGCTCACGACGGTCCTCCCTTCATGACCTGCTTGACCACTTTTATCCACTCTATGTGTTCACGAAAGAGGAATAAGAAGATGACGATGATGGTGATGAGGTAGAAGTAGAAGAAAAAGCAAAAGATGATGATGTTGATGGTGATGGTAGTATTTGCAACAGAAGACGATGAGGAAAAGGGAGGAGAGGAAAAGAAAGAAAGGAAGAAATTGAAAAAAAGAAAAAAAAAGTGAAAAGAAAAGAAAAGGAAGTTTCTCCAACACAGTTTCTCCCTTCACCCTTTCTTTCCTGCACCTCTCAATGCCCTTCCTCTCCCTCTCTCCTCTCTCTCACTCTCCCTTCCAAGTCTTTCTCCTTTCTGTCTCTCTCTCCCTCCCCATTCCCTCTCCCTCACCCTTTTTCCTCACCTTCCCCCTTCCATCTCTTTCTCCCTTTCTTTTTCTCTCTCTTTCTCACTACCTCCCCTCTCTCTCACCCTCCCCCTTATAAAGTCTTTCTCCCTTTCTCCTCTCTCTCCCTCCCC